TTTAGTCCGTATTAATCTGTTCGGCTTAAGAGAAATCAAATATTCTCTTAGTTTTTGCTTCTACTAATCTTCCTACTCATTGGATTAAGATAAGTGTTAAAATCAAGAAATAAGATTAAGAGAAAGAATTAGTGGATTTAACATGTCATTGTTTTATATAAATAGGAAGATAGGTAGGAACAAAAGATTGACGATATTTAATTTTTCTCGGCTTAATGCACTTTCTTTTTAGTCGGGATGCCACTGTTGGTTAGAAAGTGATTAAGATTTAAGGGTACTGTCACTTTAATGTAATTAATGTAACTAGAAACTACCCTTTCAAGTATTACCATTGTAAATAGTACATTTTTTTTGGAAAGAACTTCTCTAACCTTGGATACATGTGAGATTATATAGTACATTTAACATTCCTTACCTCTTGACATTACATGAAATGGAACATAGTTATTGTTGTTGTAGACTTGTAGTTGACTGCAAAACAAGTCTAGGTCTGAGACTCAAACCCAAATCAAGCATGGTTCTAATTGTTTAGTGCTCGTTTTTCGATTATTAAATGAATTAAAAACTTATATTTTGTCTCCAGATTTTACAATTTATATCATTTTTTTAGCTTAAAAATATAAATTTACATTAATGAGTGTAATAGACCTAATATTTTCCGGTTGGTATTTTTGTGTCCATTCGGTTGGGTTTTTCATCTGTCTTGTATGGGTTCCTCATCTCTTATTCTATAGGACGATCGGAGTTGAGCTTCTTCTTACAAAGTTCACAGTTCTTAAAGGAATTGACGACTCATTAACTTGTTTTTACAAGTTCACCTAAACTTCTTAGGTCCCCTCCTCCTATTTATACAGGCTGGTAGGAGTTGGTTTTCTTGTACGAAATCCAAAATATAGCACCAATTGTTTCTCATATGAATTGATGACTTTCATCACCAATTGTTATCACAAGTGCAACTCGAGTTTCTTGAGTTCCCCTCTACTTATTCTACAAGCTGGTGAGAGTTGGTTTTCTTTGTACGAAATCCAAAATATAGCACATCGTGCTTTCTACGAGTTTTGGTGGGAGTTAGACTCATATTATAATGTCCAAATGGTTTCAACATGGAATTGACGAATTGACGGATTCGAAAGAATATAAATTCATCACGAGCGAATAAAGGCGAATAAAAGATGTTTGGCATATTGACTGCATATCAGTGTTTTCATCATATCTGGCTCCTTGGGTTCCGATTTAGGCGATTCAAGATGTTCCGGAAAATAGACACAATTATCTACAAGTTTGAAGTTTTGAGTTTTCGTTGAATCGGTCGTTTTCCTGCTCATAATCGACATGAAAGTTGAAGTTAATTTGCTGTTAGAAAAAAAAGGCTGAAAATTAAAAATTGAATTAAAAGATCAAGGGCTAAAGTTGTACTAAACTGAAAGTTGAAGGCTAGGGGTAATGTTACACAATTCTTGAAAGTTAGAGGATAGTTCATGTACTTATGCTTTATAATTATACAATTGTCTACGTGAAAAGGAAGGGATGGACCGCACCCGAGATTCGGAAAAAAAAATAATAATAATAAATAATAAATAATAAATAATAAATAATAAATAAAAAATCTACTACGAAGAAAAAAAAGAACCGACTGCAGGACAGTGTTAAAAAGAAATCCTTAGGTAGCCACCAAGAAACTTTTATCATTCTTCATCACGTTATGAATTTTTTGGAAGCCAACATCATCGTCATAATCAAAATCGGTGTATATGGTAACCGAATCATAATTGGGTGATTTCTTTTCTTTATTATTCTGATTTTTTTTCCAAGTATATTCCTATGCGGTTAGATACTATACTAAGTTTATTTTGTTGATTAGAATTAAAATCAATGATAATGATGTTGAATTTTTATCTGTTTGTGGTGTTTAATTTCAGTGTAATGGAGTAGTTTTTATTAGGGTTTTAGATGATTTGGGTGAAATGGTAATTTTAATGTATTTTATTTTGTTTGAACCAATTTTGTTGAAATCTAATGACATGTTTAAATATGTGTTTATTTTTAAAATATGAATTTTGATAGGAGAATTTGATTTTGATTAGCACTTAATCAACTTTAGTTAGGGTTATTTTGTCTAGTTTAAATTTTAATATTTACATGCAATATTGATTTCGAGAGAAGTTTTATTTGTGACATCTTTTGAATAAAAATATGCGGTTTCATTATCTCGCTTAAACTTAACATAGATGTGTGTTAGGGAATTTTTAAAAAAACCAATGAACTTAATGTTTTTTTTAAAATCATGAACTACATAAAGATATGTGTGAATGTTTTTAAATCAAATCGGGAGACCTAATAACTTTTGTTTATGTTAAGTTATTCGTTTTCACATAATTGGTTTGACAAGTTAATTGCATTAAAAGAATCAATGAACCCTTATAAGTCAACCAAATCCTATTTCTCTTGTAATTTTGTTGAATTTTTGTGTGCTTCTTTATTTTGATTATTTTAGTTGTCATTTTTACCTTGGTGAATTTAGTTTAATTTTATTTTAAGAGTTTTTTTAGTTTAATAAAATCAATCACTTTTACAATCAGTTGTCTAGTTCACTCTTCCTTATAATAGGATTAGTCCATGTGGGTTTGATATCAAGTCTTACGATTATATTACTTGCACGACACCGTATACTTGCGATTACGTGTTTTCGTCAAGAGTAGCCTAGGCCTTACAAGACTCAATCAAGCTTGGTGCCTCTATGTGAGTTAATGGTTTTGCATTGAAGCCCTACTTATGAATTATGATTGGGAATCATGTAGACATGGTTATGGGGCGCTTAGGCTGATTTCGAGATTATTTGTTGGTGCAGTTACAAGGTTACAAAATGAGAACTTTTTTTTTTTGCTATATGACAATTATAGATTTGGCAAATTTTTATTTTAATCAAACTTTTTGTCATAGATACAAAATGGTCTTAAATGAACTACATCTTTTTCTTTATAATGATTCAAATGTTAAAGCGTATGTAAATTAGTATTAATTTAAGAATCAAATCTTTGTAGATAGATTCTTAATTTGAATACGATGTACTTTTTTTTAACCGACCCATATATATATATGATATTTTAACAAGATGTTAGAATAAAAAAAAGCCACCAATTACAACGTCGTTAAATTATTCTCTTTTATCTCTTTTATATATATATATATATATATATATATATATATATATATATATATATATATATATATATATATATATATATATCATTATGCATCCCCTTCTTTCTTATAAAAGTAAATGAATTTAATTTGTAATATATATAAGTTATAACTAATATATCAAGCCAAATAGACTTTAATCCTTGGGCACCTCTACCTAAATCCATCAACTTTTATAGTCAATTTTGTATTGTATGTTTAAAAGATATCACCATTTTCCTCGTTCCTTAAATTTGGTCATGATCAACACTTAAAAACACCAAAATTGCCACCATGTTTACAAACAACTTAATGGTCCCACTTGACTCACACTTTCTTAATTGTACATAATTCACATGTGTTGTTCTTTGTTCCTTTCATTTTCTTGTTTAATGTCTCCTTCTAAAATTAGCTCCCAATCACATCAATCATATTGAGTTGTTATCAAACATATTAATGAGTTTAGTGTTTGCATCTTGTGAGTGCAAGATTTGTCCTTATCTTGTAAGATTTTGATCCAATATGGTCCTACACTAAAAGAAAGGTTCAATATTCAAGTTTTGGGGTTTCAAGCAATTGCCCATGAGAAAGTATGGCACTGCCTCTCATATGGGAGGTTTAGTGTTCGAGTCTTGGTGGTTTCACTTAAGAATTAAATAGTTGTAACATACACGTTTTGAAATCGTGTTTTGTAATGAATAAAATTGTGAAATACTATGTGAAATTGAGTGTTGAGTTCTAACAAGATGGTTTTTACTAGAAATGAAGTAAAACTATGTTTAGAATCACTCAGAAAATATTGGAAGACTTATGAGATTCCAATTAAAAGTCAAATAGTGAAATTTAGTGACAATATAAAATTTTAAATAAGTAAAATTTTATTATTTGATGTTGTAGACAATCTCGTTAGAAATTTGTAGGTGAAAACCTCGTCGAAATCCGAGTTATAACGAAGAAGTTATGACCAACCGAAGATCCGCGACAAAACCGGCACGGCGCCGAATGACGTAAAAAGTGAGTTTTTGATTAACTACTTTTTAGCCTTAGTAATCTAAATGAAAGTCGTAGTATTCGTTAAACCGAGAAATTCGATAAAAAGAACGCCAAAATCTGACTTCGTATGAGGAAGTTATGATTTTTCAAAGTTTCAACTTAGCAGTAGACAGTTAAAAACTCGAATTTTAGATCGAGGGATATTTGACCGATAAATCCTAAACGAGAATCGAAGGTCTCGTCATTTGTAGTACAACGGTAAAAAATCTGACGAAAACAGATGTCGGATGAAGAAGTTATGAATTTTTAACGGATTTTCCTATCCCGGTCTGTTAAAAATTATAATATTAAAAATAAAGTCAAAATTAGCCGACAAAATCTAAACAAAAGTTGTAGAGAGTAATTTTAGCTACGCGTTCATATAAAGAACGTCAAAAACGGAGCTCGTATGCGAAAGTTATGGATTTTAGAAGTTCGAGGCCCGAAAACCAAGGAATTTCACATGAATAGTACCGGCCACGTCACCTCGCACGAAGCAGGTGCATCACCGGAGTCGTGGCCTCGCCTCGCAGTGCTACGTGTACGAGCCGGAGACATGGTGCAGCCTAAGAAGCGACGCATGTCCCAATCCGAAGCAGCCACGAGCCCCTGACG